CTCGGCTCGTCCCAGCAGGCAGCTCCTGGCGGAGTCGATTCTGAATCCGTGACGCGGTGCTCACAGGCCTGGGGTCTACACCACAGCCTCGGGGGGCGTCCAAAGGTGTTACCTTCAAAGGGGCCCCGTGGCCGGACGGCCGGGGTGGCACCTGGTGAGCAGGCCTCTGAGCACGCGAGTGTCTTGGGGGGAAACATTTCACCGCGTCCGTGGGACCCATCACCCGGACGCAGAGCCCAGCTGGCAACGGGGCGCTCGGAAAGGGGGCCCTGCGGCCACCTGGGTCCGCTCACTTCAGGGGCTGAGCTCTTCTCCGGACCAAGTTCCGCTGGAGGAGGCGGGGAGGAAGGGCCTCACTGTCGTGGGTGGGGTGCGCCCGCCCCCCCGTTGGCTCCTGCCCCAGGAGGCTGTGCTCAGGGCGTCTCCCTCTGGTTCCCTAGAGTGGAAGAGGACTTGGACCAGATTCTGAACCTGGGGGCTGAGACCAAACCCCAGCCCCCGCCTAAGCCCAAACCGCCCGTGGCAGCTAAGCCAGCGCCACCCAGAAAGCCAGCTGCTCCCCCCAGAGCGGGCCCGTCTGAGGCCGCCGCCGGGCCGCCACCGCCGCCGCCGCAGCAGATCCAGGCCATGGACGAGATGGACATCCTGCAGTACATCCGGGACCACGATGCGCCCGGCCAGGCCGCCCCCAGCCTCTTCTGACCCTCCCTGCCCTGTGCTGGCCCTGGGCCGGCAGCCCCTCCCCTGTGCCGAGGTGGGGACTGTGCCTTGCAGGCCCAGACCTCTAGTGCCGGGGGTTGGGGGCGGGGTGGAAGCCGGGGTCACAGGACCCCTGTCCTATCTGTGCCTTTTTCTCTGGCCGGTGGGGTCACGGGCCCCTGTGGGGTACAGAGAGGGGGTCCCCAGAGGAATTGAGCTCAGTTGCCTCAGCCACAGCATGTGGAGGGGGAGCTGGTGGGGATCCTGGCTAACGGGAGCCTGGCCCCAGGATGGACTGGGATGGGGAGCCCAGGGCGGCTCATGCAGGGCAGGAGACTGTGTCCACTTGTGCCCACCGGCTCTGCCGCCTCTGCACGGGATGGAGGGCCTGCCACCCTGAGTGGGGCTGGGGGCAGCATGGCCCCTGGGCTGGTGGCTCTGGGAGGGGTCCCCCAGGAGAGGGATGTTGAGTGGGTGCCTGGGGGAGCCTGGCTGGCTGGGGCGTCCCTGAATCCCCTCTGGTTCCCAGGTGCTGAGCAGGGTGCTTTCCTGTGTCCAGTTTAGAGATATCAGGCCAGCCCTCCTGGGGTGTGGGTGGCCCAGCAAGCCCAGGTCTTCCTCCCTTCCTTTCCCAGGGGAGACCTGGCCAGACAGACCCTGGCCCCCAGGGCCTCTGGCCATAGAGCCGGGGCCAGCCCTGCAGCTCTGAGCTGTGATCCCAGCGCCTGCAGGGCTCGGCCGGGCCTGGGGCTGGCGGGAGCCT